CTGAAGTGGTTTAGTTGCCCCCAAACACAACCTCTCTAATTCAGCTAGTAGATCAGGGGGTCATAAGGACCTTTAAGTCTTATTATACATAGTAGTCTATGAAAGAATTGTCAACACTGTGGAACTCCAATAGAGAAAACATCATAGAAGTCTGGAAGGATTATACCAAAGAAGGTGCCATTGTTGTTATAGAAAAGCCTGTGAAAGCCATCAAGTCTAAAACCAATTCCTGCTGAAGAAAACTGTGCCAGACGTGTGCATGACTTCCCAGGATTTATGATAGAGACAATCAAGGAAATCATGAAAGAGATTGTGGCGTGGCCAAAAAAAAAAAAAAAAGTGTTGGTGGGGATAACAGGTTTCAAAATACGTATTTTGGAGAAATTCAAGAACTAATAGACATAGCAGAGGAATTAAACGATGACTTGATGGAGATAAGTGCTTCCAAGCCAGTATCAAATAATGAAGAAGACTTCGAAGAAGAAGCAGTACCAGAAAACAAATTTTGACACTGGACAATTGGCAGGAGGGCTCTGATGATTCAAGATTGCTTTGGACTGATTTTATAATGTGGACCCTTTTATGAAAAATTAAAGCAAATTGTGGAAGAACTGGTAATATACAGAAACGTTTTTAGAGAAATGAAAAATCAAAACAGCCATAAATTAGAATGCATTTCCATAAAGTTACACCAGTGTGTCTGCCTCTCCTGCCTCCCTTTCCTATTCCTCCACCTCTTCTGCCTCTGCCACCCCTGAGACAGCAAGATCACCTCCTCCTCTAGTCCCTCCTCCTGTCTCAGCTTTCTCAATGTGAAGACAAGGGAGATGAAGACTTTTATGATGATCCACTTCCACTTAATGAATAGTACATATATTTTCTCTTCCTTATGAGTTTCTTAACATTTTCTTTTCTCTAGCTTATTTTATTGTAAGAATACAGGATATATAACATACAAAATATGTGTTGTTTATGTTATTAGTAAGGCTTCCAGCCAACAGTAAGCTATTAGTAGGTAAGTTCTGAAGAGCCAAAAGTTAAAATGCACAGGGATTGGCATCCCTAACCTCCACATCATTCAAAGGTCAACTGTAATTACCAGGAACATTATAATCAATGCAAAAAAATGAACCATTAATACGGTCCATTCAAATCAGCATAAAACAAAAATTCTTTATCTTCAGTTGTGAAGCATATCATTTGTATTTTTGGCAACATTTACTTTCCTAATTGTATTCTGTTTAAGCTAATATTAAAATTAGTTTGCATTCTTTGAGAACTGGCAATAGTAGCAAGGGGAGCCAGACAATAGGAATAAGCCAGTTTAGCAGTAAAAACCTTGTTGCAGTACTATGGAGAGTATACAAAATAAAATATTGGTTTATGATAAGCTCTCATCAAAGCACATATATTAAAACACATACAAAGAATAGAAAAGGAGATTTACTTTTTTGTGATTCCCTGCTAGGAAGCATAAAAAGAAAAAACTAAATGTGTGAGAGAAGGCTGCTCTGCCCATGGAGTAGCCATTCTTTTGTTTTTTCTCTAGTAATGAAACTTGCTTTCATGTAAGTTAAAAAAAAAAAAGGCAGGGGGATTCTCTGAGGCTACCATGGCTCAGAAGGCTGCCTGATTTAAAAAAAAAAAAAGAAAGACAGAAATGTGAGAGAAAAAAAGCAAAACACATATTTGATCCAGAGCCAAATAAATATGGGATTTATTCACTACCAAATTTAAATAACAGCACTCCTTTCCTACTTGGCTCTCTCACCTCTAAACCACTTAAATATTAATCCAATACTGACCAGTAAAACACACTGATCCCAAAATAATACACTTCTTTTCTTTCTTTTTTTCTTTCAAACACAAAAGACCTAGATATCCTAGATAGCTTGTCTTGAGTGAAAGATTATTATTTTGGCCAAAGGGAAGGGAAAGGGTAGAGTAAGCAGCGGAGAAGGAAAGGGTTGACCATAAATGCTGGAGTCCATCTCTTCTGGAGGAGAATGAGTCTGTGAGAAGAGAGTTCATATGTAACCAGATGGTTTATTTTTATTTCTATTTTATTTATTGTTATGAAACTTTTCATTAGCCCCTTATTTTCTCAAGCCAGTATATGTATTTATTTTTCAATAAGCTGTATAAAGAATTCACCTGACCCTAAAGGTGCATTTCCCAATTGCTATATCTGAAAGACTTAGAAGAGGAGTTTGTAAAATAATACTAGATACAAAGACCAAATCATCTAAAGAAGAATTCTGAAAAAGCAATCAAATATGACTTTGGTCAGTAGTTTTTATCACAAAGATCTAAATTCAAAATGATACCTACATATTCTAAAACATAATGAAAAAACCCGTTATCTGATATTTTGGAATGCTGGCCATAAAACTTAAATTTGCAATTAATTTGACAGCATATATCCTCACAAGATTAAGGCCGACAGAGTGGCATGACAATAAGGGTCCAACTTTCAACTCATTAACTCTTCCCCAAATCAGGAGAACTCTGATTATCTAAAAACTCAGGATTTTGATGATGGCAATACTGGTCTGCTATAGAATTTGACCTGCACATAGTTTTGTAAAAAGAGTGTGTGTTAGCAGTCACATTTATATTTTTTCTTAAGATACTCCTATTAATGCAAAAATTAATAACTGCACCCTAAAAAATCCCTATTAGACTCTAAATGAGACGTTTGACTTCAAGAGTTTATTTAGCTTGAAATTAAACAAATTAAACTTGCTTCCTTGTGGGATTAAGCTGTACTTGAGAGTTTCCAGCTATATAATTATTTTAACACAACAATCTAACCAGAATCACAATAATAGTGATTTTTAATTTTAGGAAGTGAATTTTTTCTGACAAGACCAAAAAATCAGAAATTACATTTTTGTAAAAAAATCACATTTTTGCAAATGAAGACTTCCAGAAGATTTTACTTAATCAGTGAAGAAGAAATTCTTATTAATATATTTTTAGATATAAAAACTATACAAAGAATTCACCTGCAATGCAATCAATTAATAATTGTCTACCATAATGAGTAGGTAAACAGACTATAGGATTTGTCCACTTACCTTGAATAGAGTTTGTTCTACAGCTCTTCACAGTGGAGTAAGACCTTTGTTGCTCTCGCCCTATCCTGGGACTGCTGTAGGAGTCTAGCTTACTTCCTACCTGCTCTGAGATACAGTTATACAAGCTCGAATCCAGACATTCTAAGAATAAATCAGCTTCCAAGGCATTCTGAAAACAGCAATGTTTGTAAGATTTTTTTTTTTTCTTTTTCTGGAAGCAGACACAGGATCACACTTTCAGAGTGATAAGCTTTTCTAGATCCTTGTTCCATAATGGTAGGGGCTTATGTCCAACCTCCAAGGATGAAAATCCTCCCTCAGTTTCCTTATCTAGATGTTTCTTTAGCCCCTTTTGTAGAGATATTTATACTGCAGCTAGAATAGTATTGTCTAGTAACCTATTAACTTATTCTGGTCATTACAGTTGACCCTTGAACAGTGCAGAGGTTGGTCTCCAGGGGCACCAATCACTTTGTACAGTAGAAAATCCATGCATAAGTTTTGACTCCTTAAAAATTTAACTGCTAACAGCTTACTTTTGACTAGAAGTGATACTGATAATATAAACAACACATATTCCTTATGTTACATGTATTATATAGTGCATTCTTACAACAAAGTAAACTAAAAAAAGTTATTAAGAAAATCACAAGGAAGAAAATATATATTTACTATTCATTAAGTAAAAGTGGATCACTAGAAAGGTCTTTATCCTCATTGTCTTCACGTGGAGTAGACTGAGGAGGCGGAAGAGGAGGGGTTGGTCTTGCTGTCTCAGAAGGGGCAGAGGCAGAAGGGGTAGAGGAGGTGGAAGAGGATGCAGAACAGCAGGCATACTGGGTGTAACGTTTTTTGGGAAGTCTGCCTATAAGTGGACCTGTGCAGTTCAAACCCTGATTTTACAGGACCCTAGGCAGAAGGGACTTGCCTTGTCTCAGATAAGTCTTTGTATGTTAATGCTGGAATGAGTTAAGACTTTGGAAGACTGTCAGGAAGGCATGATTATGTTTTGAAATGTAAGGACATGAGATTTGGGAGAGGCCAGGGGCAGAATTACATGGTTTAGCTTTGTGTCCCTATCCAAATCTCATCCTGAAATGTAATCCCCAAGTGTTACGGGAGGAAGGAAACTGGTGGGAGGTGACTGGATTATGAATGTGGCGTTTTCCCTTGGGGTTCTCAGTTTATAATTGTCTGGCATTTCCCCTGCTCATTTCTTCTTCCTGTGGCCTTGTGAAGAAGATGCCTTGCTTTCCCTTGGCCTTTGCCATGATTGTAAGTTTCCTAAGGCTTTCCCAGCCATGCTGAACTGTGAGTCAATTATACCTTTCCTTTATAAATTACCCAGTCTTGGGCAGTTCTTCATAGCAGTACAAAAACAAATGCAACAGTATTTATAAAATTGTAACTAGAAAGGAAGCAGAAACTTCATACAATGGGTGAGTTAATCTGGTCTAATCCCTAAATCTTATTAAATATGACTTCTTGATTATTTTCTTAACATTTTATTTTTAATCACATGTATTGAATAGATTAAGATCACTTCCAGGCTGCTTTCCATTTTGCCATCCAGCAGAGTTCTAAACCATCTTATAACTCTAATCAATTGGTATGGTCATGGAATTCCTATTCATCTAAACATAATATGATTTCCCAGAAAATCTTCTGAGAAAATACCCCTCAACACCAGGCAACTATGATGTCTTCCAAATCACTCTTTTGAAGATCTTTGCTTTGCTTTTTGGACCAGGTTACATTATTTAGTTATTTAATAACAATTTGTTAAATCCCTATTAAGACAAAATGCTGAAAACTGAATCCTACTGCCCTTCTTTAATAATTTTTATAACTGGGAGTACCCCTAACCCTGAAGTTGCCTTATAACATTTTTTTGAAGAAAATGTGTTCCCTCTTTGATACCTTATTGTCAGTTCTAATCGTGACTTTCAGTTGCGGTAGTACACGTTCCACTTCTAGGCTCCATTCTGCAGCATCTGTTGTGGATTCCAAAATATCTTCTTGTTTGGCAGTCTCGTTCATATCCTAAGAAAGGAAAGATATCACAAGATTGAGAGTTTATAAAAAGAAATGGTAAAAATTTGAGGCATTTTAGCAGTACTGCACAATTTAAATCAAGAATTGGTAGTGTTAAAATTATAGTGGAAGAAGAAATTCTTTTTTGTCTTCCTACAATGTTGAAAGAAAATAACGCACCAACCTGGTAGAATAGCAAAATACGTATTAAAAAAGAAGGAAATATGTGATTCAACTATTTTTACAAGGAAAAATGTTTCTGAGACATCAAATTGAGCTCAACAGGAATACCATCAAATGGACCAACTAGCCATTTAGGTGTGCTAACTGGTAACAATAGGAAACATGTTTGGTAAGAAAAGTCACTCATGTTTGTTAAGAAAACACCTAAATTTATTATGCTGAAAGAGAAACCCCAAATATGCAAGAGAAAAGATTTTAAAAAATTCTAGAAGCAAAGACTCACTATTTACAAAGTTTGTATTCATAATTGTGATAATTTATTGGGTCAAATTATAATATAGCTTAAAGTGTGATTTAATATAGACATATTTGGACTCAAATAGGGTGGATGCCAAATTTCTGCATTTGATTTTTGCATTGGAATAATAAAAATCAATCATGGTTGTTTTCAAATTACCCCCCAAAAAAATAAGTCCACTCTTTTCTCTTTTTTCCCAGCCCTTCACATTTCAGCATTATGTATGTACCTGAAAATACAAAGAATGTACAGATTAATGATTTAAAGATAATATCTAAGGCAGTAATTTTGGTACCAGTTCTTCCCTTTTAACTCCTTTAATAAATTATAAGTAAATCTAAAGAAAAACTAAAATACCAATATTTATATAGAGAAAAACAGACCCAAGAGATATAAACAGGCAAACACACAGTATAAACCTTATATATGAATTCTAATTTGAATAATCTATAAAAAGACATTTTTGAGATAATCAGAGAAATTTTAATGTGGGAGAATTCTGGATGATATTATGAAATTACTAATTTTATAGGTATGACATGGCATGATGGTTCTGTTTAAAAAGGACTTATAAGTTAGAAGTAAATGCTAAAACATTTACAGATGAATCGACAAGATGTCTGAATTTTACTTTAAAATATGGGGCAAAGAAAAAAGGGAGGTAGCTTTAAATAAAACACGATTGACAAAATGTTAATAACTGTTGAAAGTGGATAATGTGGCATATTCATTTTCTTATTCTAATTTTGTATGTGTTTAAAACATTCCATAATACAAAATTTAAAAATAAAAACTATGTGAACAACCTCATGATGAAGCTACATTCCCAATATAAATTTATGTCACAAAAATCATATTTCTGAAATGAAAGTTCATTGTATTAGTCTTTCCAATCAGATGTAACACTAATCAGAAGATTAAGCTTACATTAGGGTTTGTATTTTTGTGGGAGCCTGAGGTCTTTAGAGGCTCTGAACTCACTCCCAGCTAAGACTCTGGGACAGTGCTAACATAAGAAAGCCTCTTCTACCTTCTAGCTTGTAATAGCAAGTCCTGTTTAGACTTAGAGCCTTAAAGCCAATACTGCTTTTTGTTCAGAAATTCAGGGGACTATATATTTCTAACCTCATCATTTGATAACGGATAACTAATACATGTTTTTATACTTTATAATATATGGTCCGAATGTATTCAGTTACATTCCATTTAGAAAACCAGAAGTATAAAAAAACAAACATTAAGTAAAATGTGAAAAAAATCTAGGTTAAAAAAAAAGCTCAAGATTCTACTTTAAACATTTAAATATGGAAACGTATTATTTTGAGTATTTAATGCTCTATACTTCTATATAAATTGGATCTTGGGTAGCACAAGAATATAGTAGCTGGAAAAGGAGGTGCAGCATTCACAAAGTAGATGTGTGAAGTTATATGAGAATGTGTATGATGGCAGGAAAAGAGATAATGGGTCTTTGTGTCGAAACCTAAAGCAATAGGGAAGGTTCTCTGCCATGTAAACCCACACTGGCACCAATAAGATGCATATGTTCAGAAGAATTAGGTATATGCACACTCACTGGCACATCTGGGTACCTGTCTTAGGCTCTACAAACCTAATTCTCTCATTTTCTATACCACACAGGACAGACCAGTAGGGTCTGGGGTAGGTAGGACATATGTCTTACTAATGGTATGTGAGTCCTGATCTCAGGGCATGTGTGTGGGTACACACACAGGGTTACTCCTGCCAGGGTAATGGGCCCCCACAGCCCAATCCTGCAAAACCAGGCTGAAACAAGAGAGCATGTCCTCTCAGCAGCAGTTTTGATTGATTCTTAATAGAATGCAGCTATTGCATTAAATGATAAATTCTGTAAAGTTACAGAGTACAAAATCAATATATAAAAATCAGTATCATTTCTATATGCCAACAGTGAACAATTTGAAGAAGAAACCAAAAAAGTAATCCCATTCACGATAGCTAAAATAAAATATCTAGATATAAACCTAACCAAAGGAGTGAAAAATCTTTAGAATGAAACTACAAAAACACTGACAAAAGAATTGATGAGGACACAGAAAAGGGAATGATATTTCAAGTTCATGAACTGAAAAAATAAATATTATTAAAACATCCTTACTACCCAAAGCAATCTACAGTTTCAGTGCAATCCCTATAAAAATACTAATGACATTCTTCACAGAAATAAAAAAGAAATCGAAAATTTACAAGGAACTACAAAAGACCCAGAATAGCCAAAGCAATCCTGAGCAAAAAGAACAAAGCTGGAATCATCGCATTACCTGATTTCAAATTATACTACAAAGCTACAGTAACTAAAACAGCATGGTTCTGGCATAGAAACAGATGCAAAGACCAATGGAAAAGAATAGAGAATGCAGATTTAAATCTATGCATTTATAGATAACTCATTTCTAACAAAAATACCAAGAACACACATTGTGGAAAGGACAGTCTCTTCAATAAATGGTGCTGGGAAAACTGGATATTCACATGTAGAAGAATGAGACTAGATGCCTATCTCTCACCATACACAAAAATCAAATCAATATGGATTAAACACTTAAATCTAAGACATGAAACTCCAAAACTACTGAAAGAAAACGTTGGGAAAACACTCCAAACATTGGTCTGGGCAAAGATTTCTGAAGGAAGACCTCAAAAGCACAAGCAACGAAAGCAAAAATGAACAAATGGGGTCATGTCAAGCTAAAATGCTTCTGAACAGCAAAGGAAACAATCAACATAATGAAGAGGCAACCCACAGAATGAGAGAAAATATTTGCAAACTACCCATCTGAAACAGGATTAACAATCAGAATATGTAAAGAGCTCAAACAACTCAGTAGGAAAAAAAACCTCAAATAATCCAATTAAAAAACAGGCAAAAGATCTAAATAGACATTTCTCAAAACAAGTCATACAAATGGCCAACAGTTATAAAAAAAAAAAAAAAAAAAAGATCAGCATCACTAATCACCAGAGAAATGCAAACCAAAACCACCAGATACCGTCTTACCTCAGTTAAAACGGTTTTTATCAAAAAGACAGACAATAACAAATGCTGACAAGGATGTAGAGAAAGGGGAATACTTGTATACTGTTGGTGAGAAAGTAAACTAGTACAGCCACTATGGAGAACACTATGGAGGTGTCTCAAAAAACTAAAAATATAACTATCATATAATCTAGCAATGCTGCTAATGGGCATATACGCAAAAGAAAGGAAATCAGTATGTTGAAGAGAAATCTGCATTCCCATGTTTACTGCAGCACTAAGCACAATAGCCGAGATATGGAATCAACCTAAGTGTTGATCAAGGGATGAATGCATAAGGAAAATATGGAATATATATACTATGGAATATTATTTAGCCAGAAAAAGAATGAAATCCCGTCATTTGTAGCAACATGGATGGCATCGGAGGTCATTATGTTAAATGAAATATGCCAGGAACAGTAAGACAAGCCTCACATGTTCTCACTCATATGTGGGACCTAAAAAAAAAGTAGATTTCATGGAGGTAGAGAGGGAGTGATGCTTACCTAAGATTGAGAAAGGTGGCGGGGAGGGATAAACAGGGAATGGTTAGTGGGTATGAAAATATAGTTATTTAAAACTGCACTAGTTTTATAGAAAAAAATAAGACCTAGTGTTCAGTAGCACAATAAGGCAACTATAATTAAGGATAATGTATTGCATATTTCAAAATACCTAAAAGTGGAATGGGAATGTTCCTAACACAAAGAAATGATAAATTCTTGAGGTGATTGATATTCCAATTACCCTAATCTGATCATTATACATTGTATACCTTGTATCAAAATATCACATACATCCAATAATTATGCACTATGTATTCATAATAACTAAAGATTAAAAAATTAAAAGATAAATAAGTTTGATTTATGGAGCACCAGTTGGGTGAATTGAAGCTATATGCTGTTGATTAAATCCCAAAACCAGTGCTCTCAAACCCCATCCCCTCATTTCCACCCCCTCTTTCTTTCCCTCTGTACAAGACTGAAGTCCAGAATTAACAAACAAGACAAGGAGGGACACCCATCCATACTCCCACTTTCTTCAGGCCTGGATATAGGATTGTTCAAGTTGTGAATAACATATTCAAAATGTTTTACTGAAGGAGGGGAATGTTCATAAAGGCAGATGCGTTTGCAGTGGCCACTTGAACCAGAGCTAGAATCTGTGTTAGTAGGGTACATAAAGATGAAACACTGCATTAAGATATTCTAGTGCATAAGCTATTTGTTTTCATGTTTGGCCCTTTAGTGAGTTGCATTTACCCTTACTGCCTTATTATTTAGTTAACTTAAGCAATGACTTGCTAACTCCTACTCCCAATGTCCTAAAATGATTTAATGTAGGAGCTTAAAATTTTCACTCACTTGTAGGCCATAATTAATACACTAGGGGAAGTGGCCCAGTTACTAAATGAATAAAGGGCCAAAAGAGAACATTAGGTTTGGCAGAGTAGCATTAACTTAT